AGAAATACCTTGGTGAAAAAATACATGCTTCTGCTTGATTTTCTATTTGATTCATTCCTTAGATCTAGAGGAAAACCTGGAAGAAAAACGTTTAAAAATATTATATAAATTTAGGATGATAATTATTTTTATAATATAATTTGCTCAAACCCAAAATATATTTTTATGTATCTACTATTGATGTGTGACGAAACTTTTGACTTTAGTCATTGACGTAACTAAAGTATTGACTAAAGGTAGTTTCTCACCAAGGCCATTTTGTCGATTTAACTAAAGTAGAAGCCCTTGACATAAGTAAAACTATTTGATGTAATTAAAAACACTTGGCGTAAGTAAAACTTGATATTAATAGCAATAATGCCAAATTATGTAAAAATGTGTGTCCCGGGATAAGTAAAGAAAGAATTATTATGCCATTATATGTATATTGCAATGATGTAAGTAGAATAATTATCATGGGAAGTTTTACAAATGTTATAATTCGAGTTAGAAATTTACTTAATTAAACTACTTGTTTTTTACTTTCAAAGTAAAAATGTCTCCTCTTTGTCTTTGTAATAATTCTTTTTATTATTACATTTCATAAAATAAAATAGCCTTTACATACATATGAGTTATGTTAAATTGATTTTTTTTCGAATTTTTGATTTTGAAGTTAACTACGCGTAATACGCAATAATATTAATAATGTGCTTGAGCTGTCTTTAGTGACTGAGTTTGAAGCAACATAGGTTGATCAATATTGCAAATTTCGTTTTTCAATTTACATCCTTATCATAGTAATAGTAATAGTAATAGAGAAAAAAAATGTTGCACGAAAAGATTGTTACACGCAATTTAATAATGTAACCGTTATTCTCAAAAAAAAAAAATTCATTAAGATACCAAGTTAAATTTATATTTTATATTTTTACATAATGTCACATGTTATACTATTATCATCATTATCACGAGAAAGAAAGGACTTTCTATATAAAATTTATAGTGAAATGTATAATAATGCTAATGCTAATTCCGATAGAGAAAGTACAAAAGATTATTTTTTTTCATTGGTCAAAAAAAACAAGGAGCTTTTTGAAAATGAAAAAGAATATTGTAAAGAAAGGTTTATTTATGAGTTTGAATTACAGAATGCAATATATAAATGGGGCGAATCATGAGAATGTAAGAAG